ATATATTTCGATCAATGTTTGACTATTCCATTAGAAGTAGTATATATTTTAAACAATGTTTATCTATCTGTAGGAAGTCTTACAAATTATACATGGAAGTATTTTTGTCTAGTTTGGCGCGCCATATTCGAGGGTTATTCTACGGATATGATTTTCCGGTTTTCTTTCCTCTACAAAAAATAATAATATTTTAAACCCCCAATTCCGATTCAGTAGAAAATAAAGAGGAACTGAAACAATAGCATTTGAAATCTAAGCACAATGCATTTTAATTTGAATCCAACTATTTTCTATCAGCTTTTATTTACTTTATTTTATTTTATTTATTCATTTATATAAATATATTTATTTATTTTTTTATATTTTTTATTTTATTTCATTTTCTCGAAAAGAAAATTTTTTTTTACTAACAATATGCTACTAAAGATATTTGGTGAATTTTCTTTCATTTGGAAAATCTTCAAGGAACTACGAAATATTGCGCTACGAATATACTTTTGTTGTTGTTGACGGATTAACTAATTTGTTGAGGCTGAAAGAATGAGCTTAATCACCTAGAGCAAGATTGAATTTCCTCTTATGTTTAGTAACTCTTCTGTAGAGAATTCGAATATAAAATGCTTGCTTGAAAATATTTTYAATAATGTGGCTTAGCAAACAGTTAAAAGTAGACTTGACTTGAATAACATATTACCTTCTTAACTTGCTTGGTTTCGCTCTTTCTGTTCTGCCATTCATTTGTAAAACATTCTGCAAAGTCTTTTGACGATATATATATATTTTYCAAAACTTAGCATTGATTGGTTGCTAAATTTGCAATAAATTGCCATGGCAACTGAAATCTATCTGAGGTCAAGTGCATAACTCAACGATTTCAAAGTTTACACGTTGCCAACGAATTTCGTGTCAAAATTCTCAATAATTCTCAACTCAGGAGCTATAATGACTTATAAAATATTATGCCCTTTGAAAAATATGTAAAAATTCTTTCTGAATAAATATTTTAATAAATTTTCGGTTTGTTATTCAACTCCTCGATCGAGAAGTTTCGTAATATTGGGGAGTTTTTTTGTGTTTGGGTKTTAAAACATTTTAAAACCCATTGAATCTCTCCTTTTTTTAAGGTAAAATCTTCTCCCTTGTTCCCTCAACCAAAAAGTTACCTCCGGATATTCTTAACTTTTTCTTTCAATAATTTAAATATCTTTTATTCTTTTAAGAAAACTGAAATACTTCCCGAGAAGAAAATTCAATATTTGGTTTAATACTTTTCCGAAATTCTTTATTCAATTTTCTGCCTCTTGTTTAACTTTTTTTCATTCAAACCTTATTTATGTCATCTTCTTTCCAAATGATATTTTGTTTGTTCTACTGATTCAAGATTAACTTCAAGATTAAACTTATCATCAGCTTTGGTCACGACTCTCCCACAATTTTGCACGTGTCGATTAACGATAGATTCGATGCAAACAAACACACACACTCGTTTGATAATTAAACTTTGACGTGGACGCTCTCTTTCTTTTCAAATACATCTTGACAAGATACTTGAAAAAAGCTAAAAATCATTCGATGTGTGCGGCAGCGCATGAATTTAATTCGTTTTTAGTT